CTCTATTGCTCCCTTTTAGCCCTGATGGCACTGAAACTAAATGATTATATAATTATTTACCTACCGTCTATAGACCTACTAGGATTTTATTAAGCGATAAGCTTCTTTTCCTATGAAGAATCATTCCTTCTTCATAGAAAGAGATAAAAAAAACATAAAAAGATAATGTAATGCATCAAATCATTTCAAAGTTAAGGTTCTCCTCCATAAAGTTTTACTAAAGCAGATAGAAGTACAGTGTTTGGATTAAGGACTTAGGCTGGGAAACTAGACTCTCCTTTTGAGTACTGGCTTTGTTACTGTCTGAAAAAGTGGGTTGAGTGGGTAACATGACCTTTTTACATTTATTTTTCCTCATCTGTAGTATGGAAACATGAATCTTGACCTTGCATGTGCTGGTATGGATTAAATGAGTTAATATACATAAAACACATAGAACATTCCCTGAACATAGTAATCACTCATAAATATTAGCTGTGGTTGTATTTTAGTTGTTATAGTTATATCAGTGATACCTTCTGTTGCCTATCTTCCTTTCTCATTTCATGGTTTTCTGTAAAAACTGTAGTGTTTTATAAAATAAAACCAAACCATGAACTCAAGATGCTGCCATCTCAACATGCCTGAGAAGCACTGTTTTGTTTTGTTTTTTCCTCTTTTTCACAGACGGCTGGGGAGAAGGTGTAGGAACAAAAAGGGGAAGGAGATGTACATTCTTTCCCTTGCCCCATAACCACAATCCTGGGCAGATACTCTTTACAAATTTAGGCAACAGGCGCTCATCTTGCCTTTTCTTTCCATTCTCAGTAGGAAAGGATTCATACCAGAGTGCTGAATGCAGTGAGGAAAGACCCCAGTTGAGCACAGAAGTTTCAGCAGGAAGACAGACCTTGTAATCACACTCAACACTGCCACCCTCACTCATTCATTTCCTGTTACACATTATTCTTTGCAGTACTTGATTTTTTAAAATACAGCAATTGGTGTATTTTCACAAAATGTGACTTTATCAAGTGGAACATAACCTGATATAATGCTGAAACTGTGGCTAACTATGAACTAGAAGCTTGTACTATATCTAACACATGCCAAAATATCAGTGTGTTAAAAAACATGAAATACTTCATGGTGCTTCAGTGAGTTCTCTGTGGCTCCTTGAGGCAGTATGGAGCACACTGAAGGAGAAGAAAGAAAGAAAACCAAACAAAAAGAAAAGTTAGAGGTAAGAGTTGATAATAGCACCAAGGAAAAGCTACTGAGTAGCTAAAATTGGTATTTAGCATCTTTTTTTTCCCCCCTCCGTACTGGGGGTTGAACTCAGGACCTTGTGCTTTCGAGACAGGCATGGTGCCACTGAGCTAAATTCCCAGCCTGGTATTTAGTATCTTCTTTCCAATTTAAGTTCTTTGTTCCCTCAGTTCTCCCCTAACGACTCCCTGTTCTTGATCTCCTCTCAAGGCAGTGCCTCTCAGGCGCCTCTCTCTCTCTCTCTCTCTCTCTCTCTCTCTGCAACTCTGTTTTCACTTTCCTCCCAACAAAGCTGAGAAGGACTCAGGGTTATCACAGAAGATCCTGCCTGCTGGGGGACCCCAGCTCACTGCCTTGGCTCTCCACTTCCCTAGGCTCTGTGCCTACAAGAAATTCTGGAGAAACAAATTCACATGTTTAGGGAAAGTAAAGCATGCATGGTTAAGATCAGGGGCTTTTTGGTTTGGATACATATGTGGCTAAGAAAAAAAAGAAATAAAAAGAGAAAAGAAGGGAAGGGAAGGAAAGGAAGAAAAGGAAAGGGAGGGGGTGTAGGCACGTACATGACTAGGTAACTTATTTAACATCTTTGATCTTCCTTCTCCTTTGTAAAGTGATGATATAAATTACTTTTTCAGAGAAAAGTTCAAACAACTAAATGAGATGTGTATATTCCATGTAGCACAGACCTATAATCCTAGCACTCTGAGAGGCTGAGGCAGGAGGACTGAAAGTTGAAGCCAGTAAGGGCAATTTAATGACTTAGAGAGACCTTGTCTTAAAATAAAATAAAAATGTGCTGGTAGCTCACTGTGAAGGCCCTGAGTTTATGTAGCACAGGCCTGGTTTACAGTAAGCAATGAATAAATGGAAGCGATTACTCATGCTTTGTACTGATGGGAAGAGTTTAGACAAAATACTTTTTCTCACCTCCTTTCTCTTTAATTTTTTCTTCTCTATCTAGAAAATAAATTAAAATTTTTTTTATTCATTAAGTTTATTTGTACATTTTAGGTATACAATATGATGACATTCATCATTGGGAATTTGTATCTTTACATGATATCTCTTGATTCTTATTTTTTCCCCCTTCCGCTGCCCTCCCTTCAACCCCTCCATCCCTCCCTATTTACAAAGACTTTGTTTCCATTGTTTCATTTTCTCATATTAATTCCATTCCCTTCTTTCCTTTCCCCTACCCGTCCCACTTCTCTTCCCCTTTAGACCTTTCTTTGTTTTATAAAGACAAAGCCTTCTACTTTGATGTTCAGAATCCCAAAGTAAGGATTTTATTAGTAAAATTCCAACCTACAGAGCCTAAGGTAAACTAGGAAGAGCAAAGACTGAGCAACAAGAAGTTTGGACTCAAATCCTACCCTGCTGCTAACAAGTCAGGCAATTCTGGGAAATCACTGGTCCTGAGGGTCACCCATTTGTTCTATAAAAGGAAGAGTTTGTTTTAATGTGGACTTCTGGATTCCTTCGGATTCTAATATGCTTTGATATTTTATGAAAACAATTCTCTGAGTAATTTTTTTGATACTAGGGGTTAAATCCAGGGCATTCACAGTGAGCTACAAGCCCCTTTTTGTTCTATTCTGAGACAAGATCTCTCTAAGTCACTAAATTGCCCAGGCTGGCTTTAACTTGAGATCCTCCTGCCTCAGCCTTCACCCTGCTAGGATTACAGGCATATGCCACCACACCCAGTTTGTATTAATTCTTTTAAAAAAAATCTATCTATTTATTTATTTATTTTTGGTACCGGGGATCGAACTTGGGTCCTTGCGCTTGCGCAGCAGGCAGCAAAACCACTGAGCTAAATCCCCGGCCTGTATTAATTCTTAAAAACCTAGACTGATATATTTTTCCTTCTGAGATCTCTTATTGTGTAGCTTTATCTTGTTTCACATGTTTTTCTTCACCTGTGAAAGTGGTAGTTGAAGGCATTGGTTGAAGGCAGTGGTAGGCTGTGGCATTGGTTATTTTGGGATTGGATTTCAGTACTACCCCATGACTTTTGCCCAGTTATTTAACTTCCCTGAGCCTCATATGTTAAGTGATGACAGAGGTAGATGTGAAGACAAAAAAAAAAAAAAAGAAGCCAAATACTTAGAAATATGTATGTAAACCCAGAGACTAAGATTTATCATCTTGTAGGGCATTGCCTAGTTTTGTGTCTAACTTGGCAAACCTATTTCTGAATGTCTTTCCTCATGGAGTCCTAATATTTCGGTACCATTTTACTCATTTCCTTATTAATTAATGAGTTGAGCAGAATCTCTCACATGTTTCTTGTTTTTGAGAATCTTTATTTTTTAAAATTTCTTGAAATTATTCTTTGACAAGTCCTAATTCTGCATTAAGACACTTCTCTCAATAGATTGACATTAGCAAGGCCAGTTTTGCTAGAATGCTGATTAAGTTATTTAAAACACACACACACACACACACACACTCACACACAAATTGCATGCACATGCACTGGGCTTGCATTTTATATCTTCTAACCAGTTCCTTCCTATTGCAGTTATTTGGAGCCAGGCCTTTTGGGGGTGGCTGTGGGGATGAATCCCTTGGAGGAATCTGCCTGGGGAAAGAAGCAAGATGAACGAAGCAGAAAGACATACTTTCAATGCAGCCTTTACATTTATGACTAGCGAGATAATGAAGGAAGGTAATTCTGAAAGCTTTATGTCAGTTTTAACGGTCCCTCAAGCACTGAGAAAGATAATAGTCAATGGATGGTGTCCATAAGGATTTTTTCTCCTTCTCCCCTGACAGCCATTGACAGAATCATTTTGTATTTGCAACTGCTGTCACTGAAGCGTGGAGAAAAGGCCCTGTAAGGCCAGGAGGATGAGGGCGACTTCCCTGCAAGGATCTTTATTGTCATCACTACAGCAGTAATGGTTACTATAATTTTCATTCCACTTTTCTATGGAGTGTCTACTTTGCGGAGCTTAAGGCTATGGGATTTGGGTCACGAAAATCACACTAGCACGATCATCTTTTGTATTCTCGCAAAGAATATTTTCTAAAACTGCAGAAAGAACCTATGCAGCAAGATTAAAATAATTACCAATGCAGGTCACTTGACTAATACAATTATTTATGGGATGCTAATAGCGTTTCAGGGGCTCTCAGATACAGTGTCAATTTGACAGTCATTTTTTCCTCTTTTTCTGTGGATCCGAAAGGACAGGGCTTATCATTTCGGGGAGTGGGGAAATGTAAATTATTTGCAAATTAGCTCGCAGAAGTCGCCTCCTAGTTTCTCTTAATTATCCACAATTAAGCCATAAGGACAAGTCATGCCTTCTATTTCATTTCTGCACAGCCTCAGCTCCGAGCACCAAGCTCTGCAGTTACATTTCGGTGTCACTAGCTTTCTTATAGACATCACTGGGGACCTCACACCCTTCCAAAGTATGAGTCTGCCAAAGAATCCTTTGTGAACCAAGCCGGACAGACGCACCTGTGATCCAGGGTGGGCTCAAAAAGCTCTAAGGGGCGGTGTGTGTGTGTATGTGTGTGTGTGTGTGTGTGTGTGTGTGTGTGTGTGTGTGTGTG